CGAGAACAAAACCAGATGTACTCTCTTCTGACATATATTGCAAGATGTAAAACACCAAAAACTGTAGAATGTAAAAGCACATGGGACGGTCCTAAAATCTCTTGAAGTTGTATTTCCCATTCTTGACTAAAATGAGAAAGAAATATGGACACTTATACAGCTTATAACAAGTAATTGCATTACATAGTCCCTATGAGCATAGACCCTCCAGTAGAGGGTCTATGCTATGAGTTATCAACTTTAAGAATTATAATAGGTTTAAACGCGAGGTCAGAGTATGTCAGAGATATGGCTACAAACCTCATTCATTAAACAAAACCTCCCCTGTCCTATGACAATTTGTGTTAATCACTCCCTCTATACCCTCCCCTGCCTCAAAAGATTGTTACTCACGTAAATGGAGTAGCTTCCTGCAAACCAAGAACATAGATATCTTGAACTAAATCTGTGGGTAGGAGTAAATCATGTAGATTCCTTGGAAGTAACTGAAACAAACAGAGATCACAAAAAATTAAGTTTGAAAATGAAGCAGTTCACAGCAAAAACCATGTAATCAAACTAAAATAAAATGTATCTATTATTAATAGTAAATATTTTAATTTATGCAAAATTATTCAAACATTTTAATCTACGTAAACACATACATAAAAGACGAATTGAAGATTTGCAGGTTTTAAGTGTGAGTGATAAGTTGTCTGATTACGCCAGTGATGCTACCAGCTTATCTATAATAGTAAATATTTTAATTTATGCAAAATTATTCAAACATTTCAATCTGTAAACACATATATATATTAAATAAAAGACGAATTGAAGATTTGCAGGTTTTAAGTGTGAGTGATATGTTGTCTGATTACGCCAGTGATGCTACCAGCTTATCTATAATAGTAAATATTCTAATTTATGCAAAATTATTGAAACATTTCAATCTACGTAAACACATAAATAAAAGACGAATTGAAGATTTGCAGGTTTTAAGTGTGAGTGATAAGTTGTCTGATTATGCCAGTGATGCTACCGGCTTATCTATAATAGTAAATATTTTAATTTATGCAAAATTATTCATTTCAATCTGTAAACACATAAATAAAAGACGAATTGAAGATTTGCAGGTTTTAAGTGTGAGTGATAAGTTGTCTGATTACGTCAGTGATGCTACCGGCTTATCTATAATGGTAAATATTTTAATTTATGCAAAATTATTCAAACATTTCAATCTGTAAACACATAAATAAAAGACGAATTGAAGATTTGAAGGTTTTAAGTGTGAGTGATATGTTGTCTGATTATGCCAGTGATGCTACCGGCTTATCTATAATGGTAAATATTTAAATTTATGCAAAATTATTCAAACATTTCAATCTATGTAAACACATAAATAAAAGACGAATTGAAGATTTGAAGGTTTTAAGTGTGAGTGATAAGTTGTCTGATTACGCCAGTGATGCTACTGACTTATCTATAATAGTAAATATTTTAATTTATGCAAAAATTATTCAAACATTTCAATCTATGTAAACACATAAATAAAAGACGAATTGAAGATTTGAAGGTTTTAAGTGTGAGTGATAAGTTGTCTGATTACGCCAGTGATGCTACCGGCTTATTCAAGGTATACGCAAGACAAGCACCATTTGTTTACCCAAATTTGTATAAAAAGACTACACATTTCCAGGAGTTTATGGTACTGTAAGTTAAATGTTTTTCTGCAAACACTTGGTGTTATGTCAAATGTATACTAGTACATGGAAGATTATCCTGGTTGTTTTTATAACCAGCAACTGCAAACGATGACAAGATGTAACACCATACAAGACAGAAACCTGAAAATGTTTTATTAACTAGGTCGTTTTAGGTAGTAAATGCAAACAATAAGCGTTCACAGATAGTTTCAGATATTGCTGTAATCTTTTTGTGTGCAATGCTGTCTTTGGAAGAATTCTTTGATTTTGGTCTTCCTTCCACAGAACAATTGATGATTTGATTTCCTCTCACAGCCATCATTGTTGCAATTGTGAAAAAGTTTTCAGAAAGTCATGAATGTAATTTATACGTTTAGTCAAGTATAGTGGCAATTATGCTTATTTATACTGTAGCTTGGCCTAAATATTTAGGTTTATGTTCACACACAAAATTGATTAGATCCTCAGGGAAGCCTAAAGTCTGTCTCATTTTCCAATGTCAAACCACCTATTCTCTGGAGTGGACATCTGGGCATTTTCACCACCTGGCAACCATCATGGTGAAAACAAAGGCCGAAAGCTCTCAGAAAATGATAGTTGTTGAGACAGATTACCCCTGTATGTGCAACATACGTGTATATAAATTTGGTCTCACAGGATAACCTCAAAGATGAACTTGTGCCATTTTTCTTGACTTTCATTTTTTTTTCACTGGCTCTTTAACCTGGTTCCACAGCAGCTCGAACAGAGCCCATATAAATACATGGTATAATGGTGCACATCTTAACAATGTAGAGTGTTCTGTGATGTAGCTCCGCCCCGAGAATAGACATATCTGTAATATTTATATAAGTTCTACTAATAGAACATATATAGTAAGTACTATTACATACATACATACATACACACATATACGTTATCAAAACATTTTGTGTACATTACCTTTTCCCCATGCATATTCCATGTAGACACAAATATCTTGACTTGTCTTTCTGGAAAATATTTTTCTAATTCATCTGTACCTAATAATGATCCGGTATTCTTAACACCTCCAACCAAATAACTCCTACAAAACCACAGTGTATAGTCATTAACAGAGAAATTCAGTTCTGGTATATAGATAATACCGATAATGTAGTCATCTATCATTAATCTTTTCACCACCAGTTCTCTCTTTTCATCACAAATTCACAAAATAGCCCTGTTTATAGTCTGCACTTTCCTTCAAAAGATAGCGACAAAAATAGCTTAATTTTTTCAATAAAAACTGAAAATTGACTAAAACTTTGTCTGTTGGCTCCAAAATTAGGGTTCATTTCCAGGAATATTGAAGAATATAAGAAAAAAAGTGCAGACAAATTTAGGCAAGAAAGTCAGGTGGTAAAAAGAGATCATCAGGTTTCCTTTAATTTTACAAGGTGGCTGATATAGGTTCAGTGTTTGTGATGCATACTCTGAATCCACAATGTAAGTACCATGGGATCATATAAAATATCAAAGAAATGTGGCTAGCTGTTTTCAGAAAGTGGAAAATATCACTTTTTCAACCAACACTATTCACCAAAATTTGAAAATTAATTATTGTCACAAAATGAACAAATCTAAGTTACCGGGGTACATACATAACAAATATTTATAAGCATTCAATCAATAGTAGTTATTACCGGAAAAAAGAAGTCAAAAATAACAATTTTACTAAAAAATACTAAAGGAAATGTGAACTATGAAAGTTAAATTAACAAAATAAACAATTCTTATGTAAGTACTAAGGTACAAACATTTGTATAAAATAGCAATTGTGCTAGGTGTCTTTAAGAGAAACTCACTAAAAAGCATTCTTTCACTAAAAATGACAAAAATATTCAGTAGAATTAGAGAAATGAAGTTATCATTATGAAAAGAACAATCTAATACCCAAAGTACCTACATATCAAAGTATCAAAACAAATAGGTTCACCATTTTCAGGTAACAGGTAATTTTGAATTGTGGATACATTGTTGTGCATCAGTAACCCACCATGAGTGAAGACAACACCAAGTGAGTACATGTAGTTATTTTTGACCACAAATGGGAGAATAACAGTCAAAGAACAACAAAAAAAAAACATTGACAAGGACATGTATACTATTTATGAATAATCTATGTCTGAATAACTTATGTCAGAACCACATACAGACTCAAAGACATACACACAGACTGACCAAAACATGGACAGACAGAACCCAAGTCCTAGTTTATATCCAACATGGATTAATTAGGATTGAGCAATACAATTTCCTCAATGTTCTATTGTCCACAGGTTAGCATAGGGCGAATTACTGAAACTGTTTACAAGAAGCTCCATATCCCCTTTTTTTTATTTTTTGGCAGAATATAGTTTGTGACACCTTGTCTTATCATCATAATGTACTTTTTCCCCATAGAGTCCAATATATTATCTCCATACTCCACACAAATTAATATCAGGTTTTATTTTCGAGTTTTGGTCCATAACAAAATTATTTTTAAATTCGACGTATAGCAATATGCAAAGTATGAAAAAATTCCAAAGATAAACAAAGCATGTCATTTTAACTCCATTTTGTACACTGATTTTCTTCAAAATGAGTATAGGGACCCCACAATTTCATTCCATTTTCTTCATCGCAAGTTATAACATGAAATATCACATACGTAAAAAATTACACTATTGTTACATTAAATAGCGTTGTACCTTAAACTAACATGTTGGTAAGCAGTGCTATGGTCAGAATGATTAGAGCTTGAGTTTAACAGTTGAGGGGCAGTTTAAATATCAAGGTCAAAACTCATGAAATGACCTTAGCATATAAAAAACTCATCGCAACAAGGCAATTGCCCTTGATGACGCCATCAAAGTTCAAGCCTGTCTGTTAAAACTAGCACCAACAAAATCATTTTCACGCATCTACTGGAACTGCAGAGGAGAAACAAATATAAACAACTAGATTACTGATATGTGAAAAACTTACTTTTGTTTAAGGATATGTGCATATAGAGGAGGCAATATACTAGTAGACATAAATGATCTCTCTGAAAACGTATCCGCAGCTCTGTTTAATGGTTCTGATAACGATGCCGAATTAACTCTCTCGGGCTGCCAGGTGTCATTGAGTGGCAGTGAGTGATCAAGCTCAGGCATTGTACAAGAAAGTGGAATTCTAGGTTTATTATAAGCTATTTCAAATTGACCTTCCTCATTTGATGCTTCCATTTGCGAATGATCTGATTCCTCGGATTCTTCACTTTCTGACTCCGTGTCATCAGAATCAGATGCTAGGAAAATACTCTTATGCGGAATTTCCTGTACAATTGATTCATCAAGCTCTGCATTCCTGACTGAATTAAGTTCCTCGCTGTCAATTCGTGGCTGTGGCCTCCGAGGTGTTGATGTCGCCATAACAAATCCATCTAATGCCGGCATTATAGGAGATGAATTCTCGTTTGGTGTTACCATGACAACTGTTTCAGGTCTTGGTGACACACTGACAGGGGCTGTGTGGCTATTTGCTTTACCAATGGTAAATGAAATATTAGGTTCAAGTTCATTTGGAATGCTGCTAACATGCTTCTTTGGAGCTGCGACACTCATTTTAGCAGAATCGTCACTGGACAACTGCTCATAGAATCTTTTTGTTCCCTTCAAGTCATCCTCATCAGAGGAGTGAAGTACATGTAACGTCCTATTTTAAAATAAAATATGGTATATACTCAGTCAATAAGTATGCTGTGTAATATATGATGTTTCATGTCAGAAGCAAAAAGAAACTAAATTGGGAACTGCCAATACAATAGGGAATCAACTTACAAGCATATAAATTAAGCCGGGCTACAGGTGTATATACTTACTCAAATCGATCAATGGTACTATCGGATGGTTGCCTTGGTCTTAACTGTGGTCTTTTGGGGGGGACAGCTCCCACGACATCATAGTCATCCTCACTACTCTCATGGCCAGAGTCAAGATAAACCTTGTCCATATTGAAGTATTCCTCAGAACAAACTATCACTGAAACATTTGAACAATATAGTTTGATTGCACAGACAAACAATGTTTGAGATTTTTACGAGAATACTGAAAAATAAGCATGAAGGTAGTATGGTGATTGAATGAACTGAAGCAAAGCCTGAGTACATACTTAATTATATTTTCGTAATAAAGAATTTTAAGATATTTGTGTCTGTCATCAGTGTCGGAAATTCCTGCCCTTCCGCACACCCGAGACGATTAACTTTCGTATCGGACTGGTTGAATTTCAAACTTCCCTGTCCGGTAGTCGGGTAACATTTGACCACATTCTTTCGCCGAAATTAAAATAAAAACAAGCTACCATTCTTTATATGTGCTCTAAACATTTTACTAAACAGAAACGTGATCAGCCAAAACAATGAAAATATTGCATTGCCGTGACTGGCCGACACGACACGTGTAAAAGTGGCACTTCACCGCTAACCTACAACCTGTTAACTTGTGTGTGTGTCTCTCTTTATTTGATATGCGAGTTTTCACGTATTAAGTTTATTTTGTGGCAATGAGCTACAAAATATACATTACCAGTAGCGTAAAGAACTCAATAAGATCAAAGCCATTAATTAATCAAAATTTATATACTAACAAAACCAAAACAAATATTTAAGTCACCACAGAAATATTACAGTTCTGTTTATAAACTTAGATAAGATTCTGAATCAGTAAAATGAGCATGACCATGACAAACTAAGAAACTTGAGAAATGAAACTTATGTTCAGTATTCACACTCGACAGTAGATATCAAAGTACTTTGGAGACTACTGAAGATTGACACAGAACCACCAGCTTGAAAATAAGCCACCCTAACCAGGCGTTAACAGTTCATATATGTTTACCTACCTAAGAAATTCAATTGCTATGTTAGTACATGTATTCCACAGCATATTGCAGCATACCCATTTCAATAATCTATGCCTTATTATACATGTATCTACATACACATACGCATAGTTATCACCATGACAACTGACAATAGGCACATGTCAAAACAAAGAGTGAACTATTGACCCTGAATCAGCATGGCTGCAATACTTCTACATACATTACATGTATAAAAGTACATGTACAAAGTCTATGAAATAAAAAACTACTGATAACAAAAATCAAAGAAAACTTAGAAGAAACTCCTGTGTGCTGAGTTCTCTTTGATAAGTAAATGCTTTACACAATACTGAGGTATGTATGGGGGTCTAAAAACTAACTCTGCGACGCAATTGTGCGACTCGTTGAATGTCGAGTATTGCACTCTGTCGCAGTGTCACTCAGCAAAGAGCACGATTCCCATGGTCGATCGATGTAACGGTACACAGCATGCCTTATAGAAATGTTTAGTTTTATATGGTTATTTCGCCGACTGCTCGCGAACTACGGTAAACAAGTATTTACCGACGACATGCTGCACGGTTCGGTAATCAGAAAGTATTTAACATTGATTTATTAACATATATAACATCCCCCGGAGGGGGTGAAAGGGGTTACAAAACACATGCACGTTGGTGTTGGCTGCCATATTACGGTGTAACATCAGGGAGCTGGTAACATTAACGCCATCTTGAAGTTGTAAGGCTTTGTCCGCAACTATGCTCATTAGCATAGGTGGCAGCTTTAAAGCGAGTAGAGCGCGAAGTATGTTTCACACGATGTTATGTTTTTTTTTGTCATTAGCATAATTTGTTATGACTATATTCATCACTTTGAATTCCCAAATAAAGCGTGTAGCGGGTCAAACTGTTTCTAGACAATCAATATCATTTTATTAAGAATATTAAGAAAGAAAAAACGTAAAGCTGTGTGAATGGATTAAAACTACTGCAGAAGATAGAAAACTAAAACGGCAGTGTCAACGGATGGGTGCATGCTCTCTGCATAAACACGGAAACGATGGCTTTGTTTATTTGGCCGATGTCGATGAGCAACAGATTTCCTGTACTCCCTTTCTCATCTGATCACCGGCCCTCAACAGTCTCACGTATCGGTGTCATCATCGGTTAAGTAGTTGAAACTCTTTCGCATTGATGTGAATATTCCAGCCTAAGCGTCCCTTTCGAACCACTCGCGAGGTTGGTCATAATATGACCTAGACGTGCTTGCAATCTGTTGCGATTCCGATGAAAAATTCTTGAAAAATAAATATAAATTGCGTCAACGAGGGGTGAACGTGAAAGTCCTGTAATTTTTCATCGGAATCACAACAGGCTACAGGCAAGTCTAAATTAGTAAATATGACCCCGAGTTGCAGATTTGTCTTTGCCTCATCTGTCATTGGCGTCTTTGCTTTCTTTCTTTTCATCGTAATTGCATTAGTAAGATAGTGTTATTAAAATAGAATATAGACTTAAAAAATAAAACGATTTCTCAGACGAAGTCTTGACTGATAATAATGCTCATGAATGCTGACAATGGACGTTAGATTAATATGCATTCAAGTTGTTTGCGACAGGAAGCTTGTCACCTGTTCTATCAGAATCGTCAACAACAGAATATTACCGGTAGTATACATATACATGTTATAAACATTATGCAAATATTAACGAAACGGTAGTAGTGTTAGCGCTTGAGCACTGGTCTTTCCGAAATTTCGAAAAGCTGGGATGATGAATCAAGGTACAAAGTAACCATTTTATCAATTTTTGTTTACTTTTCATAACTGTTACAAAGTATTTCAATTCTGGTGGTTAAAATACCAGCTAATCGATCGTAGACCACAAATTTGGAGTCCGTTTATGATATAAACGAAGGCAGACGATTGCAAACAACTGCTGTCATGGCAAAACGTTGCACATCGTGAATGATTTTTTTTCGCTGCATGCAAATTATTTTCCTTGATGCACTCAACAAAGTTAAAGCAGTCGTACAACATTCATTGCAGAACTCGTGAAAAGTACTTCGCGTTCCACTCGCTTTGAAGCTGCCGCCTATGCTAATGAGCATAGTCGTCGGGACGAAGCCTTACAACTCCAAGATGGCGATAACGTTACACCGTAAATAGGCAGTCAAAACCAACGTGCACGTTACACTATTTAATTTTTCTAGCCAGCGGTGTGATGTGTCTAATCATCGTAAACCATGTGTCATTTGTTTGGTCCACAATTTGTCTTCCATGTGCTTGCGGATCACCGAACAGTGCGGCATGTCGCCGGCACATAGTGTTTACACACTTTTTTTACCATACCATTTTTACAATTTAAAACTTAATTTTTTATAAGGCATGCGGTGAACATCGACCATTGGGATTTGCGCTGTTCGACCCACCAACCAATAGGAATCGTGTTCTTCGCAGAGTGACACTGCGATCCTGTCGCAGAGTACAATAATCGACATTCGGTGAGTCGCACAATCGCGTCGCAGAGTAAGTTTTTAGATTATAAGCCCAGGGTGTTTTTAACGGGTGTCAACGACATTTATTAATTAAAATATACGTATAAAAAGTGTGTTTCATTGCATAAAAATCATGCTTATCAAGGTAGTTTGGTTCAAGAAATATGATCATTGGACATCATTTTACTTTTCTGAATAATCCTGTCTATTGAGACTATCATAAATGGGGTGTGAACGAGTAAACTATTCTTTGACATGACCTGTTGAGACTATCATAAATGGGGTGTGAACGAGTAAACTATTCTTTGACATGACCTGTTGAGACTATCATAAATGGGGTGTGAACGAGTAAACTATTCTTTGACATGACCTGTTGAGACTATCATAAATGGGGTGTGAACGAGTAAACTATTCTTTGACATGACCTGTTGAGACTATCATAAATGGGGTGTGAACGAGTAAACTATTCTTTGACATGACCTGTTGAGACTATCATAAATGGGTGTGAACGAGTAAACTATTCTTTGACATGACCTGTTGACAACCGTGAAATACTTCCTTCACACTCCAAAATTGCGAATCACCAGTTTTCAGGTAATCGAAAACATCCGACAACAAAGATAATGATAGAGATCTCAGACGGTATGTGAATCATACTGTAATAAAATGTGTCTATTTTTATGAACATGTTTGTTTCCTCATTGTAAAAGTGTTATGGAAATCAATGACAACTCGTTTCGTTGTATTTTTTCTTCAAGAAGATTTAATATCCCTCTGAAGAAATGTACCAAAATGAGCCAAGTACGGGTGACAAGTACGGGTCGCACTTTTCAGAAAATAGCGAGTATGGGTGATATTTGTAGCGAGTACGGGTGACATTTGTAGCGAGTATGGGTAATATTTGTTGCGAGTATGGGTGGTTTTTGTAAGCGAGTACATGGAGGTAATTTAGCGAGTACGAGTGATACAATGTAGCGAGTACGGGGTGGGGGTGGTGGGGGTATTGCGGGGTAAAATGTACGGGAATTATACAACAATTACGGGTGCAACAAAATACTCCAGTGAGAAAGAAAATAGCAGTGGTACAAACTATAACGAGTTCAATCTAACGAACCGAAACTAGTTGCACCTTATGAAAACTAAATGGGGACACGAAGCAGCCATGTTTAATTAATTATATATTCACGCAATTTGACCCCTATGACGTAGCAAAACGGACGCCTCGTAAAAAACATAGTTGAACTCTGGTGACCTTGCCCTTTGTTATATAATATAATTCCCTTTATCATAGTTTGTTTCAATATAAATATGCATTGTCATAATTAATTTTGAATACAAACAAGTTTTGGGGTTGAACCAACAGTGGGGAATCAGTCTACCGAATGTCCTTAAAAGATGTAAATATCTTACAAAAACATTGGTGCCTTATTTGTTTAATTATTTTAAGGGACATAATTTCCAGCTTTCTTCAAGTAATTCAATATTTTAGTATAAAAACAAATGTCTCATTGAAAAAAAAAAAAAGTTGCTGCATTTA